CACACACACACACACACATACACACACACACACACACACACAAGCCGCTGGAAAATCCCCTTCCTCCTGTTCAGGGTCTGGAAGGAGCGCAGCAGCAAGGTCCACTGAGAGGGATTAAAGCCCCCCTCCACCCGCTGGAGCGGGCTAAAAACAGCTCCCACCATGGTAAAAGACTCATCGCTGGTCTGCTTTAATCCCATTCTGAAACACTAACACATCACCTGCTTTATTCGTCTTCCTTGTTGAGACGTTTATAACAGGTCTCAATCCTTAAACAATAACCACAGCCTTTACTATCTGGGGTTTTATTAATTGAAAACCTGACGGGCTTTTGATTGTTTCAGGTCATTTGATCATCACGCTTTCCACTCTGGAGGTACAAAATTTCCATTTATGCATTCTCAGAACTGTCTATTTACCCTCTGTAGGCCCAATGCTCTTCATCTAGCCCTTCTTCTGTTTGGCTCAGCAGTTTTTACTTTCCAAGCCTTCAAAATGACCCAAGTAACCCTGCTCCTAAAGCCACACTGTTCCACCCAAATGTTCCTCTGATTCCAATCGATGGGTCAGTTTCTCTGCTTTAGTCCATATAATGCTTTGAGAATCTAATTTGTTTGGTTAGCTGACTTTCTAAAGAGGTTTTCCAGTTTTCAGATGCAGCCAGATGCATCAGAAAAAGCTCCTTCTGATCAGAACTATAAATCAGTAAGTCAGTAATACTGGTGGGAAGAACTGAATGCATGCCCCCCCTGAGTCTTCTGCATTTAGACTTAGACTTCTAAGGTCCCGGGCCTCCAGGCCACTGGAACTCCTGATCAGAGCTGATGACGCTACTCGTTTCCATAATCAGTCCTAATCAATTGTGAGATGTAGGAAAAAAACCTGAAAACCTCTGCGGCTGCACAGAGATGGCCTGTCCTCGTGTCTCTAACAGCTACTGGGCCTGGAGAAAAGTGAACTGAGCATCTATGGAAACACATTTTGACTGTTTGTGTACATTCTGGCAAAGGCTGTGAGCCCATCATGGAGCAGCTCCTGTAAGGGTCTCTGTTCCCGGCCCAGCTGCTCCGGAAACCCGACCCGCTTTGTGGGGACGTCAGAAAATACCCCAAAAAGCTTCATTTGGAGCAGAGCGGAGTCAGTTCTCTTCTGTTCACCTGGACCCTGAGCCTCAGTCTAAACCCGGCCCTCAACGGCCCAGCTCACATCTGAATATTTCATTTCCTGACCCTAGGGGGTTGGGGGAGGGTGCGTTCAAGGAACAGCTGCAGAACATATTTCCTGGACTACAGACTAATCAGACCATGATGCATCTTTACTAGAAATGACCAGAAAGGTCGGAGCTGGGATTGGTCCAAAAGCCTCTGAAAGGAAGATACATAACTAATAAAAACATGAGGAACCCATAGAAATAAAAAAGAAATGCTATTAGTGAATTCTGGTGGACTCCTAATGTCATGAAACAGCTAAACTTT